GTTTAAGGCATGGTGTCTGTACTGTACACGCCGGCTTTTCGACAAACAAAGGCGAAGCTGGCGGCCCCTGGCTCGGCACAACAGGTGGACGGGCTGGCCGCAGCGAGGCATCCGCATCGGTGAAGCAGGTCACCCCGGTCCGGTTGCGCCGGGCACTCCGCTTGGTGGGGAGCAGCCAAGCCTTCGCCGACGCCATTCTTCTGAACCCGGCGCTGAACCGATGGAGGTCGACACGACTGCCTCTGCTTCTAATGGCCGCGTCCAGTGCCAGGGTGCCCTTGCGCTGATCCGGCTAGGGCTTCGAGGTGGCTCAACGTCACGACCATGCACGGCCACGTCGATGCTCACCTCTCCGAGGCGCTACAGGGACAGATGTCTGAGCAGTAGCTGCGTAACCACTGCCGCCAGCGCTGTGAGGTGTGCGGACTCTGTGTCTCCACTAGACATGGATTCATCCGACCTGTTGACCGCCTCCAACGCTGGGTGGAAGGAGAGTGCAGGACGTTGTGGAATGACAGAGATCAGCCACCGCTATACCCCCCGTGTCTTGGATGATGAGCAGGCGAAGCCTTGCTACAGCTTTGGCGCAGGAAAGGTTCGACCGCAAAGCTTGTAATGCCCTCCTTGCCGCGGGATTGTGCTCTGACAACCACGACACTGCGGCGCTGCGGGCCTTTCAAACCATGCCTGCCGTTGACATAGATGGGTTGTCTCTGGCCTACAAGGTGCCTTCAGAGCTTGTCGCTCGAACTCTGCGCCGCTTTCCGGCTGACAGCGCGCCTGGTCCGTGCGGGCTCCAGGTGCAACATCTGCGCGAGGCTGGCCCGCCTGGCGCTACGGAGCATCTACTGGAACATCGCACTTCCATGGTCAACCTCTTGGCGCAAAGACGTGCTTGCGCTGCTGTGGCTCCAGTCTTGGCAGACGCTGGTTTGGTGGCGTTGCCGAAGCTCCGTGGTGGCGTGCGCTCCATAGCCGTGGGCGAGGTGCTCCGACGACTCACGGGCAAATGCCTCATTGACTTGGCACGGGATGAGGCCAAAAGGTTGCCGTGCCGGTTGGCGCTGAAGCCGCTGTTCATGCCACCCGTGCTTGGTTTGGGCGACATGCTACAGCCTCTGGGAAACTACTCCTAAAGTTGGACTTCACCAACGCCTTCAACACACTTCAGAGACGTTCAGCCCGACAG